CAATATGAGAAGTTTCCAATCATTGTAGACTAACTAGTATACTTTGACATTCTGAGAATAGCTTATTCCTCCGGTCCACAACTATGAACGCTGTGAAATTTATAAAACTCACCACCAGTGAATACATATAACATTTAACATATATCCAATAATACCTTCAATAGCACCCTCATCGACCATACAAATTATACTTTATTCAGTACCAAATGAAGTCTTTCCTGCTTACACTATAATATAGTGTCTATACTATCTAGACTATATAATAGTCTATACTATCAATACTAATGCAATCACCAACTAACGTACCATTCTCATGTCAATTTTGTCCTTATTAAGGGTACTGCGCTTTTACCATTAAACTTGACAATCCATATATCCACAAAAACTATCACTATTACGAAAGATATATCGCATTCTAAGTTAAAACTTCTAACTCTCCAAGACAATTTCCAAACGTAAACTTGAAACAAGACTATAACCAATAAACTTAGTACAACATCTAACATACGGGTGTAATACCCATTTTATTACCGGTTGCTAGACATGCAGGATTTCGTACGGAGAACGACGAATCCACGGTAACCTCCGACAAGCAATCATCAGTGAATATAACATAACTCATACTCCAATCTTTAACTCAACCTCAATAATATACAATCCAATATTCCTTTGAAATTTTTAACTCATTTGCCATAGCTAACAAACTTTTAGCATTGACAAATCTAATCAATCTGAATGACTTACATCACACTTAATTCTGCATCTCAACTCAACAATTCATCCTTCGAAAAGCCAGAAATTTGTATGAATCACTTAACTGATTTCAAAAGTCTTATATTCACTAAGATGATTTGTACCTAACATATCAATAGTCATGACAATAAGGACTAGACTGGTAAGCTAAATCGCTATCTTTCTCGATCGAACGTTTCAAGTACCTGACCCAACAGAAATCACTTTCCATGACCAACCAAAAGCTTCATTTACTCCTATCAGCAACCTGCCGAGCTTTAACCTTAGCACCTTCAACCGCAACCCTAATACTATCGGATAACACACATACCAAATCAACAATATGAATCTTAGCAACATCAACAATTCCTTTCTCACCATTGATATCACTGGCCGTAGTAGCAACCGTCCATCCATAAATCATATAATAGCTATCTTCATCCCCATTGATCAGTTGACTAATTGTTCCAACTGCAGTTTTAACCGATCGCAACGGACGCTCAACACAGCTCGCATACTGGCTCCAATTCATATCCAACAGTGATTCGTCCATAAAGATCGATGCATATTTTCGTCCACTGACATGAATCGCCACATCCATAAGACCGCTGCCCAACGACAACGGACTTATCTCACTCTTAATGGAAAATTTCCCTAACGAGTGTAAAGCACCAGTACAAACGGTGCAATGAGCCTTACTCGTAGCTTGATGATACTGTAACGTCTTACGCCTATCACAGAATCTATCCGGGCATGTATTTATGACATACGAAGTCTTCGTAAAAGTAATCTTATCACATGAAATATTAAATGAATGAATACCACCTTCACCTTTGAGTATAATCGGAAATCCACTATCGGGGGCAACTATCATGTCCGTCACTCTATTGACCGGTAGAATTGGATACTCGCTAACAAGTACCCGTATGCCACTTTCGGGTAACCCTATAATTTCACCGGTCGCTACTGGTTCCACTATATTTATCCAACAACCTACAACCATCTTTTCTTCAAACTGGAGTAGTGCTAAACACTCGTTCCTTGAAGATGTTTTCAATACCGCCACCGATCCATCTACGACACATGAAATAAAATATATAGCCGATTTCATGAGCTCATCATGGAAGATACGGGGTAATATCAAAGCTGCGTGTAGATCGCTGAAAAGCCTCGCGAATTAACAGTCACTACCCGGATTTGATACGCGCAGCGGTGGTCCTCCCTATGAGGACTCGGGTAACTAGTGGGAGTAACCGAGGTACCATGGGTTGACTCCCTTTCTGCACACTGCGCATGAGAAGCATGACTCGTCTTTTCCTTAACACGTCTACGACGTACCTTGACTATAACATCAGTGTCACGATTACGTGGCACTTCGGTAGTCTTTCCTGAACGTGTAACAACCATTCCGAACTCAGATAACTCAAAGCTAGACTCCGTTAATATATATCGACAATCCGTAGCGACAACCTTAGTCCTCAGATGACTCAAAAACCCTAAACCCATAAGGGTTCGCAAAACCATAGCGAATGATCCAGTGCCCAATAGAGTGCAATCAATGGCCGCAAAACTATAGCAACACAATGAAGACCCTATTATCCATATCCTCCTCATATAGATATGGATCCCTATGTAAGCTAGTATAAGTCAGTAACTAGTAAAAGCCTTGTATAGAACTTATACCGGACTCAACTTAGCCTAACTTAACTTATAAAAGCCCGTACGTAAACACACAGCAGCGTGAAAGCAGCACGCATGTACATAAAGTAGCGCTCGCCTATGACCAGCATCACAGAATCCTTAGTGTCATACCTCGCGCCGTACGGACGCGCGCATTGCCCGCGTAAAATCAACGATTTTATAACAACCAGATCAATAAGCTCAATACTTCACATATATATTCAAGGACCGAGAAGAATAACGAAGACCAAAGAGAAGTAGGAAATAAGGGCACCGTAGTAAGAACCACTAGTCAGAGCTGCCAGAACTATCATCATCACTTTCACTGCTCGACTCTTCATCCCCTTTAGGCTTCGACTTCCTCTTCTTATCCTTCTTCTTCGTCGAACTAGCAGACTTAGACTTGGCCTTAGACGACTTGAAGTAGACTTGGAATCACCAACCTTATCATCAATACGATATTCGTCAACCATTCTCTGCACCACAATGTCATACGCCTTAACACTTAAACTTTTGCTAAAGCAGAGACAACTTAACAATAGGTAGTCGGACTACCGTAGTCCATAACAATCGGACCATAGCAGAGAATAATAGTCCCGTACAAATCCTATAAGACTTGCACACATATCCAAACCCTTATCCAACGTGCCGTCTTGTGAACCGGAAATGAAAAACGGCTCGAAAGAAAAGCAGTAGTTGCTAAGTGAGCAAGATTGACTCATTAGCACGAACCATCTTGTGGCCCAAATAGACTCTAATAAGTAGAAAATAACTGATCCACCAGCTACGGTTTACATAGCAGTACAGCATGGAGATAGTAAGGCACCTTAACAGTAAAATCTATATAGAGGCTTAGCAACGGGGAACCTGGACATCGTGTAGTAGCTTCAATAGGTCTCGACTTCTTTTGCGTGTCCATTTATGGCAACATGGGCTAACGTAGACCATATTATCAAGCTGTGCCGTAAGGATGTCCTTATCAGTGGCCTTAGCAAGTTCTAAGCATCCACCGAGAAGTTCAACCCTCATAGGCTGGACCAACATAGATCCATCTTCAGTTCCCTCATCACCCTCGAGAACAATGGCTAACCCGTTGTAGGAATGGTCCACCACAACCACAACCGAACCATTTAGGGGTGCTTTCTTCATGAATCTTCCAAATTCATAACCATCACCAACACCAAGTTGTTCTCGAAGCCTTGAAAGATCCACCATATCTTCCTCATCTGGATCCTCATCCTCAGAAGGTACACCTTCCTCCGAGTCACCCATAATGAAGCTCTCTGGTGGTAGCACTCTATCCTCAAGCTGTTGTGTCTCTTCATCAGAAGGACAAATACCAGGAGGGAGTAACGGTTCTGACCCAAATTCGCCTCGGACCCGTCCGGATTCCCGAACTATCTTCTCCAAATCTATCTTCTTCCTGGCACGTTGAAGTAAACGTAAGTCGTCAATCTCCGTTCCAGGCCTTAGGGTCATATCCTTAATAGCTCCCTGTGAATCCAGAAAGACTCTTTTTCCTTCTTGAAGATATCCATAAATGACACCTTGCAATGCCGGAGCATGCTTGATGTTCTTAAGTGGGTATACCTCCGAAGGACCGTAACCTTCTGGCACTTCTAGACTCTTTCCATCTTCACTCACAACTACCCCTCCAACACCTTCTAGAATAATACCGGGGGTTATACCAACCATTGCAGTACCGTTGAGTGAAGTGATAGTCGAAGGACCAGACCATATAACATCAAGATGGTGACCAATACGATTAGCCGGGCACTTGGAGGTAAACACTAAGTCGAATAACTTAGGTTCATACCTACGATCTTCAGTCATAGCCATACGCTCAAGATTTCTCTCTTGACGCATGCGCCATAGCTCCAAGTACTCCCTCAAGGTAACCGTAAACTCCTCCTTAGCGCTTTCCAACAGTGGCACGCTATCCTTGACAAAGCTTAAGAGATCCGTATCGAAATACTTCACCCTCAACTCGTCCCAATCAATATCACCGTCTGTGTCACCACGGTCACCAGGAACCCGTATACCGTAAGTAAAATGGAGTTCCGTTGGGCTTACATTCGCCCACATTCTTGGGGTGATGTTATATGCTCTAACAGCTAGCTGGTAGTCCTCAATATACGAGTCTTCGGTAGAACGATCCATAGATACTCTCAACGCTCTCGTCACTTCGACAAAGTCCTTGTGAGCTCTTTCCCAAAAAGCTCAGGAATTGAGCATAACC